GGGTGGATTATAACCCATGATGAGACTGGTAATCAACTCTACGGAAGAATCTACTGTGAGCAGCTGAATAGCTGCCTTAGGAGTGTGGTCTGCTTCCTGCATATAAAGAGAAGTCTTGGGGAATGGTCTCTAGCTTATGGCACGCTTGAATCCTGCATGTAGCTGTGTCATTGTTCGGCAACCTGCCATACTCTACCAACCTTGGGACTTTCAATGGATTTGAATTAATGACCTATCATCTGGTTTGGAAACATTGGGACTGTGCCTTTTTACTTGTCAACCTTGGGCTTGGCAGCCTCAGCAGCCACCAGCTGTCAGAGTGAAGAAAAGCCTCCAGCTTCAGTGGGCCAGGAGCAGGAGACAGAGTTGAAGCCCAAGGTTGAGGGGCTTTCATCCAACCCCTAGAGCCTGGCACTTGATCTCATACTTAAAGCCTCCAAACTGTAAGAGAAATAAACTGTTTATTAAAGCCATCCCATTTGTGGTATTCTTGTCAGGGCAGTACTAGGTAACTAGAACAGTTGGTGAACTAGTTCTGCCAGATATTAAAGCATTTTATTTAGCTTCAATAATGAAAAGAATGCACCTGTTGCACTAATAGTCATGAAATAGGACAGAATTAGAGAGTCCAAAAATAAATCTAAGTTATGCAGAAATTTAGCATATAATATAATTGCTACCTTAAATCATTAGGGCAAATAGGTTCTAATTAATTAATGCTATACAACTGCATAGCAATGTGAAGAAAAATATTTGATTTGTATCTCTACAGTGTATTCTGAATTAAATTCAAATGGATTAAAAATTAATATAAAATGAATGAAATTATGAAAAAATAGAAAAATTAGACAATTGGATAATTGATTTACAGATTTGGAAGAGAAGGACTTTATAGCTATCATTCAAAAATTAGAATCCAGAAAGCAAATACTGGTGAATTTGACTACAAGAAAATGAAAATAAAGTATGTATCTGCCGGTGAAAAAAAGATGTCAAAAGACAAAAGGTAAACTGTACACATTTCACTTCACAGAAGAATAAGTTTTACTAATAGAAAAGTCCTGTAAATTAATGAACAAAAGACCAAAAAATTGATGGAGAAGGTAGTAGTCAATATTATAAAGATTTATATAGCAATAGAAAACATCTCTAAATATATGGAAATATACTTACTTAGCTTTATTCATAGTGAGAGCAAAATAAATTTAAAAAAATCATCATATATATCTCATCTACTTAAAAAAAAATTGGTAGTTTGACAATTGGTGCTCTTATTCCTTACTGGTGATAATGTATAATCAATCAATAAAATAACCAAGCAGGACAATTTTATAATATCCATAATTATTATATAAACATATGTTGTTTGACCTAACTTTTCCATCACTGAGAATACATTCACATAGTAGGTAATATATGTAAGTTTATAAATGAAACCACTGTTTATTATAGGAAAAGAAGGATTTCAGCTCTGGTAGTAACTGTGGAAGATGGCCAGTACTCACATAGTAAAACTAAGAGACAAAAGGGAAGAGAAAGCAAGGAGGGTTAACGTGTGTGCAACATGCTGCTTGTTGATTCTTTGTATTCTAAGCGTGTTTATCTCTTTGAAAGTTTTTTTTTGTGTGTGTGAATGTTCTTTGCCCCAGTGTTCTGAAACTTTATAATGTTGGGCGTTTTTGTGATTAATTTATTGTGATTTACTTGGTAACTTATTTGTAAGCATGTGTCTTTCAATTTTTAGATAGTCTTTGCATTATTTTACTGTTGATTCCTCTTTTCTATAGCCCTTAATCAAAAAAAATTGAATATTGGCTCTCCATAATTGATTATGTTCTCATAATTTGTTTTATTTTCCATTTCTTTTTTAATGTTTTTCTATATTCTACTGTATTTTCCCAATGTACTAATTGACAAACTTGGTGTTGACTTTTTAATTTTTTTTTCTGTATATAATTTCCAGAGCATTTTCCTATTTTACAAACCTTATGTTTTCATGACATCCTGTTCTTTAGTATGCACAACATACCCTTTTTCTTATATCTCTAAGAATATTATTAGTTTTTCTTTAATTTTTCTTCTTTCCACACAAGGTCTATGTTTTTTATAAGTAATTGTTACTTTGTTGTGTTCTTCTTTCATTCCGAGTTTTTCTGTCCATGAGCTATAATCGTATTTAATGGCGAGGAATGAAGAACTTTGATAGGAAGGTGAAGATAAGCCTAAATGACAGAGATCTCTATTACACAGTATCCAGTTGGCAGCTCGAATTTCATTGAGGGAAACCAGTTGGCACAGTATTTTTGACGAGGTTCCTCTGAGTTTCTCTTTCTCCTGAGAATAAACTTGGTAAATTATTTTTTGTGTGGCATTAGGGGAGGTGAGCAAGGGATCAGAATAATTAACCTGATTTATGTGTTGAGAGAGAAACTATGAGTGTCAACTATTTTTCATGTTTCCAGAAACAAATCTCATGATTTAAATCTCAAACATTTCAAGATTTCTGATAGGTGAATGAATTGTCTCTTATTAATTATATCCTATCAACACACTAATGTTTTGCTTACATCTATTCTGCTACTTTATGGAGCCCTGGTGGTACAGTGCTTGGTTGCTAACTGAAAAGTCAGTGTTTTGAACCTGTCAGCAGAACTGTGGGACAAAGATGTGGCAGTCTGAAAATTTACAGCCTTGTAAACCCTATGGGGCAGTTCTCCTCTGCCCTAAAGTCTCTCGGTGTCAGAATTGACTTGATGGCAATAGGTGTAACTGGTAGCACAACAATTAAGCACTCAGTTGTTAACCAAAAGGTCAGAAATTCCAACCCAGAAGCTGCTCTATAAAGATTATAGCCTTGGTGACCCTAGGGGTCAGTTCTACTCTGCCCTTAGGGTTTCTTTGAGTTGAAATGGACTCAAGGGCAATCAGTTATGGTATTTTGCTAACTTAGTCACTAATAAACCATTGTCTTTTCAGTTTTTCAAAATTCGTTAAAAATATTTATAGCTCTTGTCTCTTCTTTAATTGCCATTGGGATTAAGATTTAGGACATTATTATGGAAAATTCTGTGCTACAAAGATAGAAATTTTAGATGAAATGGATAAATGCTTGGAACAATACTAGTTGATAAACTGATTAAAAAATTATTAGAAAATCTGAATAATCCTACAACTTCCTAAGTAATTAAATAAATTTTTTTAAAAAATGTTTTCACAAAGGGAAACAGGCCTTATTTTCAAGTACTTCCAAACATTCAAGAAAAAGGCAATTTTAATACTATAAACATCAACCACAATATGGACGGAGAATTTATCAATTATATGAGGCTGGCATAACTGAGTTTTGAGTTATTTTATCAATTGAAGATATAATAGTTGTTAATATGTCACTAAATTCACTTGTCTTTTTTGTGTCTTATTTGCTGATAATTCCATCAGAACATACTTTATTAATAATATAATAATAATTTTCTAGAGTTTTAAGATTATAAGAAAGAAATTAACTCAGGTTAGGTTGACGATGCTTGGGACATTCTACATGAGTTCCCAGCATCTTCTTTTCTTCCAGTTTGATTTTTGTTATTTTTAATTGGGGTATTCACACAACAGGGAAATTCAAGTTTGTGAACAATCACTCTTTTATATTTTACTTGGTTGGAAAGATGACATATTTTCCAGGAAGACTTACCTCACAAATTCATAAATTTTAGATGTGTTAGTCATAAACAAATATAAACCAGAAATTTCTCACTAGCAGATTCCATGGATAAATATTGTCCATCTAACAAACATTATTGGCTTTTTGACTAGGAGGCTCAGTTATTATGTTTACAAGGAGATTAGATCACACCTCCTACAGTCCTTCATTTTCTATGAACTATACCTCCCTCAATGGGAAATAAAATGTCCTCCATCCAGTTTAACTCTTTTCCCATGACAATTCTTGGATTTCTATATTTTTTTTCTTTTCTTTTGGTTTTCAAATATATCATTCTATAACTCCCTATATGTTTACCTATTATACTCATTGTTTCCTATAATTTTTTAAACAAATTTATCATTGTTACTTTGAAGTGCCTGTTTGATATGTCTAGGTCTGGGCCATCTGCATATCTGTTTTTAATTATTGAATTTTCTATATCAATCACATTCTTTCCTTTTTATGCATACTTCATTTTTATTATTGCATCCCAGATACTGTGTCTAATATTAGAGTGTGAAATAATTTTATACATACATATATATGTATATATATATATACATATATATTTAAATTTATATATTCATATGTACACTGGTGAAAATATATACCAGCAGACATACACAGGCAGAAACAGGCATACATGTCCTTCTACTATCAGAAGACTAGGATAAGGGGTGAATCTTTTTCCTGTTAAACATATTTTAAGGATTTTTTTCCCAAATTTCTTTCCAAATGGTTTTATATACAACAACCAATATATAAAATGTAATAATGCTTTTATTTTATTTTTGTATAAAATTTATTTTCTGTTTATTTAAAATTAATAATTTACAGGGTAATTTATTTGAACTTTATTATTGAAAAAAAAAGTTAGTCTGGAGCTACATCTTGTATTGTTCTGATGCTATGTTTCAATCTCTTTTTAAATTAAAGAATTAGACTTGATTATCTTTTATATTTCTTTCAAATTTAATAATCTATAGATTCTAGTAGCATAGTGCTTAAGGCACTTGAGTCCTAACCAGTAGGCTGGCAGTTCAAACCCACCAGCCAGTCCTCAGAAGGAAGGTTGGGCAATCCACTTCTGTAGCGATAATGCCTCGGTAACCCAAGGAGGGGTTGCTATGAGTTGGGTCCAACTCGATGGCACATAACAACCACAGATTCAGAAGCTTAGTTTTGAGGTAAGTGTTGTCAAAGTGATCTGTTTAATTAATTTTACAATTGTTCTTAATAATTCCATATGAATATGAATTTGTGAAAAGGTTATTTAATTTTTCATCTTTTTGTTTGAAAGGATTTGAAAGCGAAAAATACGAGGTTGTTGATGCCTGCTTCTCTGTCATTGCAAACTGCACTGAAAGCCCCATTTATTTGAAAAACACTGAAGACCTTAATTATGCATATTGGTTCCCATGTGAAGGAATAATGGAGGTGAGGTAGATTTATGTAGTGGTTTCTCATTTGTCTCTTTAGCTCATAAATATCTAAGTAGAAAAAAAAAAAAAGTAGAGATGTTAAGGCTAAAGATTCTTCAATATTTCAGATAAAAATAGCTTAAAATAATTTTATAAAGAGTTTTTCAATAATATGTTTATTTCCACTTGAAAAATCTTCATGTACTTTCATATTTGTGATATTTTGTGCGGGTTTGCACCTGGTGCAAAGGTTTCAACGCAGCTTACCAACTAAGACAGACTCAGAAGAAGGAAGAGGCCATCCTCTTCTCAAACAATTAGCCAGGGAAAACCTTCTGAATAGCAGAGAAACACTGTCTGATACATTACTGGACAACTTTATGATTAGCCCAGAAACATTGTCCAATACAATGCCAGGAGATGAGCCCTTAAGGTGGGAAGTCACTCAAAATATGACTGGGAAAAAGCTGTCTCATCTGAGTAGAATCAACCTTAATGATATAGATAAAGTAAAGCTTTTGGGACCTCGATTTGGTGGCATGGCACAAGTCAAACTGAGGAGAAACAGCTGCAATCATCCATTAATAATCAGAACATGGAACATACAAAATATGAATCTAGGAAAATTGGAAGTTGTCAAAAATGAAATGGAACACATAGAAACTGATATCCTAGGCAATAGTGAGCTGAAATGGACAGGTTTTGGCCATTCTGAATCAGAAAAAAATATGATCTACTATGCAGTGCCTAAGGTACTTCACTGCTAACCAGAAGGCTAGCGGTTCAAACCCACCAGCCACTCCTCGGAAGGAAGGTTGGGCAATCTACTTCCGTAGTGATACTGCCTCAGAAACCCAAGGAGGGGTTGCTATGAGTCAGGTGCGACTCAACGGCACATAACAACAACAACAACAATAATACTGGGAATGACAAATTGAAGAGGAATGACTTGCTATTCATCACTACAAAGGATGTTTCAAGATCTGTCCTTAAGTACAATGCTGTCAGTGATAGAAAAATATCCATATGCCTACAAGGAAGACCAGTTAATACTACGATTATTCAAATTTATGCACCAACCATCAAAGCCAAAGATGAGGAAATAAGATTTTTATCAAATTCTGCAGTCTGAAATTGACCAAAAATGCAATCTAGATGTGTTGATTATCACTGACAATTGGAATGCAACAGTTGGAAACAAAGTAGAATGACCAATAGTTGGAAAATTTGGCCTTGATGATGGAAATAATGCTGGAGATCGCATGACAGAATTTTGCAGGACTAACAATGTATTCATTGCAAATACCTTTTTTCAACAATACAAACAGTGGCTATAAACATGGACTTTGCCAGATGGAGTACACAGGAATCAGATTGACTACATCTGTGGCAAGAGGCAATGGAAAAGCTCAATATCTTCAGCCAAAACAAGGCCACAAGCTGATTGAGGAACCAACTATCTACTTCTCATATACAAGTTCAAATTGAAGTTGAAGACAATTTAAACAAGTCCACAAGACCTAAAATATGACCTTGAATATGTCCCTCCTGAATTTAGAGACCATCTAAAAAATAGATTTGATGCACTGAACACCCATAATCAAAAAGCAGAGGAATTGTGGAATGACATCAAGAACATCATCCATGAGAAAAGCAAGAGTTCATTAAAAAGACAGGAAAGGAAGAAAAGACCAAAATGGATGTCAGAAGAGACTCTGAAACTTTCCCTTGAGCAAAGAGTAACTAAAACAAATGGAAGAAATGACAAGATAAAAGAGCTGAACAGATTTCAAAGAGCAGCTTGAGATGACAAAGTCAATTATTATAATGAAACGTGCAAAGACCTGGAGTTAGAAAACCAAAAAGGAAGAACATTATCACCATTTCTCAAGCTGAAAGAACTGAGGAAAAAATATAAGCCTCAAGATGCACTATTGAAAGATGCTATGGGCAAAATATTGAATGATGCAGGAAACATCAAAAGAAGATGAAGAAAGTCCAGAGTCACTGTACCAAAAATAATTGGTGCCATCCATTTCAGGAGGTGGCATATGTTCAAGAACCAATGATATTGAAGGAAGAAGTTAGAGCTGCATTAAAGAAAGTGAAGAAAAACAAGGGTCCAGGAATTGACGGGATACCCGTTGAGATGTTTCAACAAATGGATGCTACACTGGACGCATTCACAAGGCTGTGCTGGAATATTGCGAAGACAGCTACCTGGCCAACTGATTAGAAATGATAGATATTTGTACTCATCCCAAAGAAAGGTGATCCCACAGAATGTGGAAATCATCAAACAATATCATTAATATTGCATACAAGTAAAATCTTACTGATAATAATTCAAAAACAGTTGCAGCAGTATATTGACAGAGAACTTTCAGAGGTGCAAGCTAGATTCAGAAGAGGACATGGAACAAGGGATATCATTGCTTATGTCAGAAGGATCTTGACTCAAAACAAAGAATACCAGAAAGATGTTTACTTATGTTTTATTGACTATGCAAAAGCATTCGATTGTGTGGATTGTAAAAAATTATGGGTAACATTGACAAGAATGGGAATTCCAGAACACTTAATTGTTCATAGACCAGGAAGCTGTTGTTTGAACAGAACAAGGACACTGAATGATTTAAAATCAGGAAGGGAGTGTGTCAGAATTGTATCCTTTCACCATACTTATTTAATCTGTATCCTGAGGAAATATTCCAAGAAGCTCGACTATATGTAGAAGAACATGGCATCAGGATAGGAGGAAGAATCATTAACAACCTGTAATATGCTGATGACACAACTTTGTTTGGTGAAAGTGAGGATGACTTGAAGCACTTACTGATGGAGATTAAAGATTACAGTCTGCAGTATGGATTACATCTCAATATAAAGAAAACAAAAATCCTCACAACTGGATCTATAAGCAGCATCACAATAAATGGAGAAAAGATTGAAGTTGTCAAAGACTTCATATTACTTGGTTTTACAACAAACACCAATGGAAGTAACAGTCAGGACATCAGATGACTTATTGCTTTGGGCAAATCTGCTGCAAAATACCTCTTCCAAGTGCTGAAAGATGTTTCCTTGAGTACTGAGTTCTGCCTGACACAAGCCATGGTATTTTCAATCTCCTCAAATGCATGTGATAGCTGGGCAATGAATAAGGAAGACCACAGAAGAGTTGATGATTTTGATTTGCAGTGCTGGCAAAGAATGCTGAAATTACCACGGACTGCTAAAAGAACCAACAGATCTGTCCCAGAGGAAGTGCAGCCAGAATTCTCCTCGGAAGCAAGAATGGCCAGACTTTGTCTCACCTACTGTAGTCATATTATAAGAAGGGACCATTCCCTGGAGAAGGATATCATGCTTTGTAAGGTGGAGGATCAAGGGAAAAGGGGAAGGCCCTTAATGACATGGATTGACACAGTGGCTGCAACCATGAGCTCAAGTTTAGCAAGGGTCATGGAGGTGGCACGGGACTGGACAGCATTTTGTTCTGCTGTGCATAGGGTCTCTATGAGTAGGAGAAGACTCGATGGCACCTAACAACAACAATTCTATTACATAACCCAAGATACACTTATTTTTGTGCTTTGTTAAAATTTTGGCAAGGGGAAACCTGCAAATAAAGCACAATTCATTTAATTTTCTTTCCTTTGTGAGTTTTTGCCTTTATATAAGCCATAATTTCAGAATGTTCAGATAATTATTTATGATCAATTAATTTGAAAAGTTTTCCAAACAAATAAGAAAAAAGGTAAATGAAGAAGTAGAAGGGAACTACCTTTGGGCAGATATAAAATGATGAATGTAAAAGGCTAATTATATTCATTTTGTGAAAAACATGATGGAAGCTTAAATGCAGAAAACACTATTTCTGCAAGCACACATGCACATACATGAGGATAAGTTATTATAGATACTTTACACAATAAATCATGTTCTTGACAATTCTATAGAGTCATATAATTAAAAATCCAATGCATACTAATCCCAGAAATATGAAGATGAAAGAGGGAGCTCTTGTGCATTATAATGTAATCTCTTTATTAGACACATAGGGCAGAGAATCTCCTCATGGAATTTTTCCCTTTCTGTTATTATAAATCTGTCAAATGAACAATCCTGTTCATGTCAAAATTTCCCCAGAGTGGCTCCTGCAATTTTGAATTGTCATTGGAGAAATTATGCCAATTATAGAGTTATGCATATAAGTTACAACTTGGAGGTAAGAATATGAATTGCATAGGAGCCTAAGACCTGAGAAGATGCCATCAACACTTGTGTCAGATCTTATGTAATGTCACGTCTTCTGACTTGCCAAGGACTAGTCAATCACAGCTGAAAACCTGAGAAAAATGTTCACAGAATTTTTAAAAGGTAACTCAAGGAAAATAGTGTTCCCTGAATGCCTGACTGATGATCAGGTACCTGAACTAATCATCTGAACTAATCATGCATCAGCACCATCTGGATGATGATCACAGGCCTATGCTTGTGCTCTTCTAACAGACATTGATTAACCAGAGGAAGTGATAGTTACAGACAGTGTTGAAACTAGATCACATAATCAGGGATTCCTAAAATGTCTTATTTCTAAGAGACAAAATGAGCTTAGCCTTTTGGAACTTGATGAAAATAAATTGGAGCTCAGGCCTGATGTGGCACCCATATCACTGTTACAGTTGGGGAGAAGAAGATCTAACAATCTAAAGATAGTGCACTGTTTGGACTTAAGGATGCTGAGCCTTAGTACTGAGGGCATCCTAATTGAATCTTTGTATAACTCTGGGATTGTTCAGTCATGATGCTCTAGAAGACCACTAGGAAAAAAAAAAAAAAAAAATTGCTATTGATCAAGAAAAAACTAGTTATTTCAGGTTTCCTGCAATATAGGAAAACAACACCCAGTGGCTCAATAGTTAAGCACTGGGCTGCTAACCCAAAGGTTAGAGGTTCATATCTATGCAGAGGCTCTGTGGGAGAAAAATCTGGCAATCTGCTTCTGTAAAG